CCAGACCCTCAATAGCGTTCCTGAACGGAGGGGCCCAGAACTGTATGCAGTATTCAAGGTGTGGCCTCACCAGTGCCAAGTACAGGGACAGAATCACCTCCCTGGTCCTGTTGACCACACTGTTCCTGATCCAGGCCAGGATGCCATTGGCCTTCTTGGCCACCTGAGCACACTGCTGGCTCATGTTCAGCTTTCTGTCTACCCAAACTCCCAGGTCCCTTTCTGCCTGGCTGCTCTCCAGCCACTCTGTCCCCAGCCTGGAGTGCTGCATGGGATTGCTATGGCCAAAGTGCAGGACCAGCACTTGGCCTTGTTAAGCCTCATCTATCTATCCAAACTTTCCTCCAGGCTGCTGCTTAGGTAGATGTGCTGCACCCTGTGTGTGTGTGTGTGTGTGTGTGTATGTGTGCGTGCATGCACCAGGACAGCTCTAAACTTCTTCGCTGAATGCCAGTCCCCATCTTCAGATCCTGCCTCTGCTTCCTTCCAGTCAGCCTAAGAGTAAAAGTAGCTCCTGTCCCTTAACTTGGTGCTGTTCTCAGCGTTAATAAGGAGGCTCTTCATTCCCTTTTCCAGGTTGCTGCTGAAAATTACAAATACCTGTGCCAAGCTCTGTGATTTAGCTGTCTATTCTGACAGAAAACCAGCAATAGCCATTCTCTGGCTAATGTTTTGTTTGGCTTAGCAGGAGCTTAGTGATGCTTTCACATGCTGTGATTATTGGCATCTAAAGATGTAATTTCTCCCACACACGTAAAGTTCTCCTACTTACACAGAAGGCAGTTATAGGTCTATTTCCTGTGATTTATAACTGGTAGTTCTTTCTTAACTGATAGTTCTGTGTTAACTGGTACTTCTTTCTTTATCCTCTAGCCTGGAGGGAGAAGCCTTTTGCAACCACTCTGTCCCATTAGCTTTTAAGATGTCTGGGAAGATTGAACTTATGCTTAACATACAGCGAGCGAGTGGTTCCCACAGGGGAGTTGGCCTCCCATAGCCAGCAGGGCACTGGACCATTGCAGAATGTGTTTTACAACATCTCTGCCACAAAATTCCCCAATAAACATTGTGAAAGCTGAGGGCCAAAGCTTTCTTTTCCCTGTTTGAAAAAGGACAATATTTTTTTTCTCATTTTTTCAGAATGGTCCTATCCTTTGGGCTGTAGCTTTTGTAATTCTCTGATGAAGTGATAATCTTGGCTGGCATCTTAAAAAACCTCTAATTTTCATGATTGCTTAAAAAAAACACCTTGGAATGTGTTTTCCTTTAAGGGTAAGAAACACGGAAACGTGTTATTTTCTTTTAAATTACAGTTACAAAACACTGACCTTGTGATTTTTCTAGTATACGACTGAGGTTAATCTGTTTAATGGGTTACACCATAAGCAAAGCAAACTCAGAGCAGCAACATTATCTTTGACATTGCTCCTTAAAATATGTTTCCAGTTCACAACTTTTTGAACACGATTTACAAAATTTCAGGTGAATACCTGGTGAGCTCGCAAAATCTGGAATCTAAATAGTTGTTGCCATCTTCACTGGACTGGTGAGACCGTTTCCCCGAAGTGTTTTACAGTTTGGAGGGGGGAGAACTATTAAAACAGCTTTTTCTGGTGTACGGTGTTTGTTCCTGGCTTTTCATGACAAGCAGAATTTCTACCTGCCTCTCTCTCTTTGAAACGCTTCGATTGAGAAAGGTGCTACTCTGATAAGGTTTCTTTTTCTTTAAATAATGAAATGTTTGATTTTTTTTGGTCATAAGTATTCTAGCTCATCCTGGCCTGTGCCTGTGCACACAACAGCCATCCAACAAGACAGGTAATAGCTATAACTTCATATTATTCCCTCTCACATGAAAGTTGTTAGTAGTGCATCAAGGGATCACATTCCCAGTCTGAAATTCTGGTTCTTTCGTTTTGGTGCTTTTTTAGGAAATGACAGAGCTGCAGCACATCTGCTGAGTAACACGGCAATGCACATACATGTCCTCTGTAATATTTTTTCCTTGTCTTAACTCTGAATATTTTGGGTCTTGTAAATAATTATTTTTTTCAAGCATAATGCATCACATATAGCAAAAAGATACTGAGCTGCTGTAGTTGACCAAATTATGTTATGTTTCCTATTCTTAACCAGAAGATAACTGATTATTCATTAGTTCTGTAAACAAATATCTGCCTTATAAAGTTTCTATTTTAAGACCCAGGTGCTGCTTTGGGGCAATCAACAGTACACCATGAATAACACCAGGCACCAGTCCCTGTTCTTTGTCAGTCTGCCCGAGCTGCAAAAATTCTGTGCCGCTACAATGACACTGAGCCCTCAGATACCAGAAACTGAGATAAGGAATACACAGATAAAGATCTGCAGGTAAAGAATTTTGAAGGCTATTATTTTCAGAAGCCGTTGGTGGTTGTTATTCAATTATTTTATTAGCAGTACTGGAATTACCTGTAATAAAATCAGGAAAATTCTTATCAGTGGTAAGCAATACAAAATTGTTCAAAACTGGGTTTTTACTTGGGTGGAGACTTGCCAAAAGAACCAAGTGTCTCTTATGTTTTACATGTCATCAGCTGAAACTGACAAAGCCACCTACTTCAAATTCATAAAGAGTTAAAATTAACCTATGTTCCCTTGCAAAGCTGGAATGCTCTATGTAGGTTGAGCCTAAGTGAAAAGAATGTTTGGAAAGCAGGTGTGCGCTCCTTAGCGTTCACCAAGCATTATGTCATTCACTTTAGCAGAAGAGTAGAGAAATTAGAAATTCTGCCAAAAGAAATGCTTTTGGAGAGTTCTGTTCATATGCCAAAGGCCTGTAGTCTTTGTCTTAGACCACTGTGTGTCATCTAGAGCAAGTAACTTGAACTAATCCAACTTATTATACTGAACCTCTGGAAACTGATTAAAAGTGGAAAGTATTATGCTTGAACAAAGTGAGGAAAATAAATTTAAGGTGAGAAAATCAAGGGCATAAAACTATTTTAGTGTTTTTTTCTCACTGTTATTTTACAGACAGTTATTATTCCTGTATCCAGAGATCCTTTCTGCGCCTGTTATTGGAACACTGAACCAAATTTCAGTTGTGATGGCGGTCAGTATCACTGTGTAAATAAGTACACGTAGTTACATATTGCTGTGGATGAACAGAATGCACCTCACTCAAAAGAGAGGAGCAGCAGTATGTATTGTTGAAGTAAAGTAATAATTTGATAGAGTCTGATAAGTTTGATGGAATTTGTCAAAGGATTGGCAGTGGTTGGACAAGGTTCAGTAGGTTTGATGCCAAGGTTTGCCTTGATTACTGTGTGGAAGAAACATAAAAAAGGAAATTGAGTTAGAATGACTCAGAGAGAGACAAAGGTGTGAAGAGAAAAGAGGGTCCTCCTGTTGAGTCATGAAGTTCAGAGTGGTTACTCTTGCTTTCTGAATTCCTTTTTGAAGCCTGGAAGTGGCTGGATACCATCTTAGTCTCTGACTTGGTGAACTGTTCGTGTCTAATGGAATTATCCATGCAATGTTTATAGTATCTGAATAGCTGCATGGATTAGCAATGCTGCATAGTATTAAATCAGCTGTTGGTGACTTTCTGCGGGTAAGGGATCTTTCGTCCTTAGGTGAGGAAGAATCTCTTGGTTTCAGGTATGGAATCTCTAACCTTGGGAGGTGTCCCTGCTCAGGGGAGAGTAACCTGCTGTGACCAGCTCCTATAAAGTCTGACTACCATTCAGGGAGAGATCAATTTGGGCCTGCCCTGATTTTAATATTTAAAGGATGAAGTAGTTGGCTGCTAGTCAATAGTGTAGACAACATGTGCCTTTGATTTAGTACTGATACCTTGTTCTGTACTTTGGTTATCTTGTACTTTTGGGTCTCAAAAACACCTCTTGAAATATTTTTCAAGACACTTTTGCTCCTTTGTCCATGAGCCAAGGACTTTCCAGCTTGCAAGTTCACCCCTAGGATATGAGGCCTGTTGCTTCTTGGTCAGCCAGAACCAAAGTATGGCTAGGAGTCAAGTTTATTTGTCACACATAGATGTGTGTTTCTCTAAAAACTGCTTTGTTTGAGGATCAAAGAATAAGTAAAAATATGTCATTTGAGGCAAACTTTTATTTTTGTGCATTAGTAATGTAGAGGATGCCTTAATTCCTCTAGTCCTTTGACAAAATGTCCTTTTTGGATTGTGAACTTTTTTGTGGAATGGAATGGGCTCAGTTGATAAGAAGCTGCAAAATTCACAATGAGAGCAGCAGGGGCAGAGTTTGGTGATTTGGTTTTGGGCAGACTTTTGCTTTGTTGTTAATGTATCTTTAGCCAGAAATGAGATTACACTATGACAAATGCCTGAACGAATTTAAGTTACTTTCCCCTTTAAAGTCCAGGATAAGGTGTTTGCTTAGCTGTTCCCTAGCATGTTTTTCAAAGGCAAAGTCACTGTTGGACCAAGATTAAATTTATGATTTACTAGAACACCCCTTAATTCCAGACACTGGATTTTAATCTTTTTTATTTTTTTTTTAAATTTTCAGATCCCATTTTACAAATCAGGAATATGTCAAGCCTATGTAGAGAGACAAGGAGCTACTGTAAGTGCTGAAATATGACACAGTTCTTAAGACTGTTACACTTGTCTACAATTGCCAGAGATGAGTATATTTCATAGGGCATATGGTTTGCACTACAGAAACCAAACTTCAGGGTGAAAAAGTGCCCCATAGACAAAATGTGTCCTATGGATCTGGGTATAGTAAGTATACTTTGTTGGAGTCAAAAGTTTTAAGAAATTTCTGAACAATTTCCCTAGATTTCCCTAGTGCAGTGGAATCCTGATCCTGCACAGGGGCACTGACAACCTGCTCTCTGAGCCAAAGACCTGCAGCTCTCCTGCTGGCAGCACCCCTTCCACCAGTGCCCTACAGATTCCACAGCAGGGGATGTTCAGACAGCTGAACTGTCTTCCCATTCCCCTTTTGGGTGTACCCAACCTGTACAGGACAGTCTCAGGGAAACAAAACAAAAGCATAGGGGAGAAATGGAACCCCTGAGCGTAACAGTTGATACATTCTGGAGGTGTATTATTTAACTCATTGTAATTAGTTTCTTGACTAATGCTAACAATCAAGAGAAAGCTGTGCAGGCCAGACAGGCAGGCAAGTCAGGTGAACAATGCTATGTTTATCTATTGTGATTGCAAGAAAATGTTTCAGGTCTTCAGTTTGACAGCAGAGTTAATGTCAGTTTTGGATGTTGTGCCTGTTGCCTGTAAAGAGTTGCATATCTAGTAAAGTGCTCCAGATAGATCAATTAATCTTTTTCCCAAGTCTATTATCAGCCTTGTGAAAACATAGGAACTTCAGTGTACCTTACTTCGATGACACATGAAATCTAAATGCCTGCATCAAATACTGTGCTAACTTCCTCTTGCAGCTAAACGGGTGAAAAGTAAAGATGTGTGACAGACTAGGATTTGACTCCAAGATGCAGTAGCAGTGTATTTGCTTAAATTTTGACTGAAGCCCTTAAAACAATCTGTTAAAATATTAATAATGTATGTTTCTTTTCTCACTGTTGTTATTAGCTGGAAGCACCACAAACAGTTACTCCAGCCATTCTTCAAACCTGTCTCTCCTACACTCTTACAGCCAGACTTGCACCCAGATGGAACAAGGCTGGTCATCTCCTGGTGCAAGGTATTTGGCTCACCTGGGTCAGGGATCAAGCATTTAGTTTTCAGTTCTTTATAATTGCATTTATTTTGCATAACTTATTTCCGTAAGTATCTCATTCTTATAATAAATTGTTTAATTACTTTATCCTATGAGGGTTTTTTTCTGTAATTGCCTTTTTTCTTTTTGTTTCCTTATCCAAGTTCAATGATCCAAGTTAATAATCTGAATGGACATATCATTTACTTTTTCTTCTTCTTCCTTATCTTTGTAATAGATCAAATAATTATTTAAACTGAATGTGACATACCAGATGAATAATTAGCAAACCAAATATTGTTGGACAGTAAATGTCTTCTAAAAATTGGGTCTGTTTTTCCGATTCATGCTTTCAGCAGTGGCACTTCTGCACATGGTTCACAGGCTTTTCTAATACAGAAATGTTTTTCTGTCAGACCCTCTCCTTCTGTCAAGCTCTGTCTTTTTAGATGGCAGATCCTTTTCGTGACAGCTCTCTGCTATATCCTCTGTAGGATAAACATGAATTACCAAAGTATGGAAAAACAGAAGTGCTTCAGATACTGTGGTGTGCTCTTATGAATTACAGCAATGCACAGAATCAGTCAGATTGGAAAAGACTTCTGAGATCATTGAGTCCACCCTGTGACCAAACACCACCATGTCAACTAGGCCATGGCACTGAGTGCCATGTCCAGTCTTTTCTTAAGCACCTCCAGGGATGGTGACTCTACCACCTTGCTGGACAGCCAGTTCCAATGTCTATCACCCTTTCTGTATACATCATTGGTATGCATCAATACTGCAGTTGTGTACATCATCCCAAATATAGGCTGAGAAAAGTGTTATCTTATTTCCAACCACAATAGTAACAGTTTCCTTTTCTCAGTATCTTCAAAATACATGGTGCTCACAATGAAATCAGGTGATTCAGAGTGGCAACTAGAAGTAGAGAGCTAGCTGGTAGCTGATATAAAGCTGATTTCAACAAAGACATTGAGCAACAGCGATGTGACTCTGATATATGTAGCTTGCCTAATCCTATGTGTTGCTAAAGCTGGGCAAAACTGATGGCATGTGATAAAATATGGACTAAAACTACACAGATCTGCTTTTGTTCCTGAGGAATGTATTAACTGTTAGTCAAGTAAAAATAGTTCCATGTTCCTATGTCAATTAAAAATAGTTACTCCATTTTTAGAGGAAGGAAAAAGCAATGTATAAATTGCTGTCCACTAAATAGTTTTACTTATCTTTCTTTTTTATACAAGATGTTAATGAACCAGTGAAAAGTTAATCAACAGAGGGGTTTTTTTTCTCCTTAAAGGGAGCACACCTTTCACTTTAGAGATCTGGTTTAGAAAATAATGCCTATCTATTTTATTTATTAAGGAAAAGACTTTTTGTCCCATTCAGGAAGGCAAAATGCTGTTGGTAAGTACAATATTCTGTTAATGGCTAACTTGTGAGAGCAAGGTATAGTTAGTTTCATACTGCCACAGTCTTGGTACTACCAGCACACTGTCTGGTTTCCATTCTGAAATAACTTCTGTCAAAATGCACTTGATGGCAGATGATACTCTGTAATACTTGTCAGCCCAACTGCACCTTTGAAAAATTACCCACAGAAAAGGTAATTTTTCTACTTTTTAGTCTCCAGCCATAGATTGAAATTTGCCATTTAAAAGATATCATTATTATAAAGAATGCACTTGCCTCAAACTATGAGTCTTGCAGGTGATATTAAAGTTATTGTTAAGTTAATACTAAGTTGATAGATAGGAAAATGAGATAAAGCAGCTGCCCTGTATGTACTATGTTTGCTGTTCAAAAAAGTTAAGTCACAAAGCATGCTGTTTAGCTATTGCTAAAATGAAAAAGTAGTATTTTTATTCCATTATAAAAGTTAAAGATTACATTTGGGGATATTGAAGCCTAAACTTGTAACAGGGACATATGCTGAGAACATAAAACATTCAGTCCCTGTGGTACAGCTTTGCTCAGAGCTGGGAGAATGTTCAGGAGGTGTGTCAATAGATGCTTAACATGTTCATATAGTCTTTCCTGTGGACAACTTCTGGATGTGCAGTTCTGGGCTGAATGACTCAATACAGCCAGTGGTTCTAACAATTAAATTTGCTTTGAAAATGGGTGTTTGCATATCAAGGGTATGAGTATCAAGCTTCTAGTTGCACAGCCACCATGTGGGAGGTGTACTGCATGATGGTAATTCACTGTAATATATAAAATGCACTTAATTTTCATTTCCATGCTGAGAAAGTCTAGCCTTTTGCTTTGCAAATGCAACATTTTGACTAACAGTTACCTTAAATAAACATTTGGGTTAGCTTTCTGTCTAACGGATGAACTGTAATTCAAAACAGGGCTTTGTGCTTTGTTTTATTTTAGTTCTAGACCTCAATGTGTCAGACAGACAGCTTTGCATCAGTGTGGAGCCCTGCTCAGTTCGCTCACCACCCCCTGAGGTATAAGCCAGTTAAATGTTTTGTGACTGTGTTTGTCATATTAATCTTTGTCTTCTGTCCTGTTTCAATTAGTATGAGGGACATAGGAGTGCTTATTTCTGATTGCATTGAGACATTAGCCACATTCATTGACTATCTGCATCTAGTGCTTAGAATCCATATTGTATCTATATTGGTGGGTTCTAGCAAGCATTGTAAAATTGAGATTCTGGGCTAATTAAGAGACCTTTCAAAAATGTGAACAGAATATAGCAGTGAAGTGTCTTTGCGATTTTAGATTTCCTTCTAGCAGTGTCTTCTAGAAAGCATTTGGCCTCATTCTAACTTATAAACAGTATTGAGTAACAACAGCGAGGCTACAGCTAAGTTGTCAGCACCATGTTTAAAGTCCCTGTATATAATTATTATCATTTTCTATGCAGCTTCCAAAATCCTGGAGCAGTCTGGACTATGGTGCTTGTAAGCATAATTAATAAATTGTTTAAGAAGTCATGGCTGAAGTTAAAAACTTCCCATCCTTTGTGACAGCCATGTCACATTTGGTGAATATGTCCGTACATGCAGGGACATACTTGTCAGGCTTGCTGCTTTTTTCTAAAATAAGCATTTCTGATCCAATCTCTTCTGTCTTAGACTAGAAGAATAGGATTTCTGACATAGTTAGACAGCATAAATATTAAAGCCATCTATAGGAATCCAATTCCCAAATGCCACAGACCAGTGATGGAAGTGATCACGGTGTGGCTTCATGATCAGTTTGATTCTTTCAATACTTTTCTAAACCACAAAGATTTTCTTGCCAGTGGATAAATGCAAACCCTAGTAGGCCATAGAAAGATAAAATGTTTCTCAAACCTCAGTCTGTGATTGTCCCCTATAGTCAAATTTTGACATTGTGAAGATATGTGGTGTTTTTTGACTTCTCACAGGATGAAGTTGCATGTCCCATTACTTCTGTTGTTTGGATATTTGCACTTGATTAGGCAAAGTGGCATACACAATTACTAGAATGCCCAACATGGATTTCTGATCCGAGCTTTTAAAAATGCATGGAAGTGAGGCAGGTCTCCGTTTGAAAATTCCTTCTGTACCCTTATTAAAACATTTCATATCAGGTTTAAATCTCACCGATTCAAATAAACTTAAACCTTGTACCTGCACAGCTTGTGAAGGTGTAGGCCCTAAGATAGGACAGTGCAATTTGGTAAGAGGAATATCTTCTGAAATAATATTGTGTAAGCTTCAGTGTATTGTGATGCACAAATAATTGTGAAAAATGTTAATTTTGTACTGCAGTTGAAATATTTCCAAATAACGTGTTTTTTTTCTCTGTCTAGCTGGGAGATTTTGATATTTCAGCAAACACCTTAAAGGTGTTTAACAGCAATGAAAATGCAGTCATTCACCAGCATTCCATATTGAGTAACTGGTGCTATGTTTTGCCAAGGTAGGAATCTGTTTACATTT